TTACATTTTTAAAAGGGTGAAAAAAAAAATCAAAAGAAGAATATTTCATGATGTGAAAATTATATGAAATTTCAGTGTCCATAAATGGAGTTTTGTTGGCACACAACATGCCCATTCATTTACGTGTTGTTTATGGCTATTTTTGCACTATAAGGGTAGAGGTGAGTAGTTGCAACAGAGACCATATGGTTCCAAAGTAGAAAATATTTACTATCTGACCTTCTACAGAGAAAAAAAAAATTGCCTACCCTTGGCCTAGCACAATAACTCTCCTTAGCTTCTTTTAAAGTCAGATACATTAATATTTAACCCTCACATGTTTCTTTCCCGTAGGAAAGTCTTAAGCCTAACATATAACTCCAAGGTCAACTACTGAATTATAGCCTAGCATACAGAGAGCTATACAGTAAGAAGAAGCACACTGCAGTGGAGGAGAGAACATAGACTCAAGAGTCCATTGCCTGAGCTCAGACCTTGGGTCCACCACTTACCAGCTATGCAACCTGGGGCAAAATGCTTAACTTCCCTGTGCATCAGTTTTTCCATCTATAACCATCAGGTTAATGATGGTACTCTCCACCTAGCGCTGTTTTGAGAATGAAATAAGTTAACGTTGACAAAGTGCTTAGATCACCTGCTATGCAGCATGTATGTATGTAGACAATAATACAACAGTAAATAAGGTAACATACTTTGACCGTATTTTTACGTTAAGAAAATTGAAGTACTTAGAAATTAGCTAAGGTAATGAGTTAACCTCAACATATTCATAAAAATGGGAAAAATATAAGCATGGATTAAAATTTGAAAATTTCCACTTTTGTCAGTAAATCCTCAATGCAAATACAATACATTAATGTGTACTCTAATTGATTTTAATTGTAGGATATAACAATTTGGCTCCCATACCTGTGATATAATTTTGCAATCAATGGTCCTGTTTCAGGTAATAAACAAATTGTATTCTGAATGGTTGAGTAACTTCTGATACAAAATCTAACTTCCTAACAACTTCTAATCTGAGGGTATCAAATGAATATAAAGGGAAGCAACAATTTAGAGAATGCATGGATACAAGATTAGTTTGCTTTGTTAAGGCTGTTATTGAATTCTCAGGAAGAGAAGAAATAGAAAATATTGTGCTACATTTAAATAAACACTGTCTAAGCACCAAAGCCAGGGATCCAAACTGTGTCATGTAGGGATGTTAGGACATCTAATGTCTTTTAAATAAGTGCCAGGTGATTTTAGCAAATATGTAATCAGTACTCCAGATGTTCAAGTACCTTTTTACATTAATTTATGTGCTCTTCAAATAATCTATGTTTTGTAGAAAGTGAAATCTTTGTAAAATAGCCTCTTCTATAAAATATAATTTCTTGAAAACTACACTCTACACTCTAATGCGGTACTATATATGGGACTAGGATAGCTGGTGGTTAAATGTTTAAAAAGTAATCGTTCTTTTCATGAATGCTTTTATATTACATGTGCTTTTCTGGGAGAATGTTCAGTGGACTTTTGTTATGTGCAATAGTAACATAGATTGGGGAATAGAATAGTGAAGTGCAACACAAAGACTTTCTTATGTCATAAGCTTAATTCATTCAACTTTCAACAGGCATTTATTTAATGGTTATATTGGGTGGGGTGCAATGGAAGTGTAAGAAAAAGAAGTTAATTAATCTAGTCCAATTTGATTTGTTTGGGAATAATTACTAAATTATGAATTAAATAAAAGAATACAAATAAAAGAGAAATTTTTTGGGTTACTTAATTCAAACTTAGAGTATAAGTCTTCTGATGTCTACTTTTTAATGTACTAAATACTGCATGTCTTGTCACTTGATTAAATTAAATTTTCATGCTTTAGGAACCTTTAACAATGACCTTTTCAGAAACCTTTTTAAGAACTTATTTCTTAAGTTTTGTATTTCTTGCAATAGAACAACAACAACAAATAACCAAAAATTAAGCCTTCAAGATATTTTAATTTCTGTCTACTCAAGTCCTACAATCCTAAATTACTTATCTATACATTTGAATACAAGGTAACAAATTTCTTGTTTTATTTTATTTATTATCCTTAACGCTTAGTTTGTTAAAATAGAATATGAATCCGAGCACAGATGGTATATCTGGAAAAACGAAGCAACTAGAGCAAGGTTTAAAATTAATTTGAGTGTTTATAGTTTCAGACTTTGGTAGCTTAGTTTTTCTAGACTTAATAAAAAATAAAAAAATATTTAATAATCTTTAAAACATATTTAAAATATGATTCTGTCATGTTATATAGATAACACATATCCTTAAACAAGTAAATTCTCATTTGAAGTTATTCTATTTGTTTATATTTTATACTTATTCCCACAAACTGGTCAATTTTAATTTTTCATTTCACTCTTTGAATTTGAGAAACTCATATTTGGAGTATGAAAACTATAGGTGAACAAGAAACAGTAGATATAATCACTTCCCTTTAATAAAAATGATGTAATAAAAAAATAATAACACATTTATCCCCCTGATACAGTACTATAAGGCCAAGAGGATATTTTATATTATGCTGATGCTATAATAAATGGGCTGATACAACACTATTGATTCCAACTTACAGAATTTTTGTCTTCCTTAAACTTAAGATCTTATTTATTCTTTCTGTGATTTAAAATTAGTAGTGGAATTAGTCACTAAAAATTAAAATGATATAGTTGCGACTACTGGATTAAGATCAAAATTATATTATTTTGAGATCAACAATAGGTTTATATTTTCTTTTCTGTACCTTCCTCTTTTAAAGGAAAATACAGTTTCCCTCCTACTGCAGAAGTATCAGATTCTTGCAGCATCCATGACACTTGTAAGCATTCAGTGGTCAGACACCACTACATATCCTTCAAATGATACGGCCCAGTGGAGCTGGAAGGTGTCGTCACGCAGCCAGGCAGCCTGGTATCTCAGCCATCCACCAGGACAGAGCCAGCAGGCCCCAGCTGGTGTGCTGAATCCAGACTAAAGTAGGAAATGGATTTTGCGTTTTGAAAGTCAACTCTTCAGACATGGAAGCCTAGGACATATTTATTAGATAGAAGTTCGCTGAGGGCTTCAGAAATTATTTATTGGATCAAATTCTTAATGCTCATTATTCAAAATTACTTTTAGAATTAAGTTACATCTTCATTTTCTTATCCCTCTGTGTTTCTGAATTTACACAAGGTTGTACTTTTTTTTTAAAATATGAATAACTGTATACTCAGGTCTATAACTGTGTTGTCTGAATTCTTGAATATGCATGATATATGCCAAATCAAGTATATTTAAAGGTCATTTTGTAATGATGAAAGTGAAAATAAGACCAGAATATTAATTACTAATGCCCATTGATGTGGTAATACTTGGCCATCACACTCAGTTTACCATTTTGATCTTTTAAACAAATGAAAAACTTACAAAATAAAAATACAGCCCATGTTCTTGGACCCGCTTGGACTCATGTGCTCACTACACAAGCAGACGTTGGTTTGGATTCTTGCTTGTGCTATTGTCTTACTGTCATCTTTTGACACCATAACTCTTTAACACATCTTCCACAGATACCAGAAAAATCAGCTTACAAGATTTCTATGTTCGGGGTTTCTCTTGCCTCTTGTGGGCCTCACCTTAACACCAGCGCTGCCTAAACAACTGTCCAGAATCACTTCCATTTCCTAAAACTTCAGTTACCTGGGTCTGGTAGAAACATCCTGACCAAAAAAAAAAATACACATTTAATTCCATAAGGCCACACAGAGTGGATCCCATTCTTTAGACATCATTCTGGATGGGAAAATGCCAGACCATGCCCATGTACTTCTGTCTCATGTTAACACTTTGGTTGATTAGGCTAGGGTAGCCTGGTATCTGGAATCATGATGTTTCATCATGACAAACTGAGAAGATATTGTTTCTTTTTTTCTAAAAAGAGAAAGAAACCCTCTGCTAGAACTCATTAAAAAAGGTTTTTAGATTGCAGCCAATAAAACACGATTGTCATTTCCTATGGCCTTTTTATCTCAGCAGCGTTATAAAAAGCCATCATTTTTCTCTGTCCTTTGACATGAAATCCTATTTGTAACACACATAGAGACATATTCTATATAACAACAACATGCTACTCCCTAACTTCTTTGCTACTCCTGAGCAAGCGTACGAATCTAACCTGAGCTAGATGACCCCCCACCCCTCCTAATTTTCAACTGCACTCCCCTCTGAGAGGGAGTCACTAGGCAAGATTCATTCTGACACCCTGAAACCCCTTGCTTTACTCTCCTTTAAAAGTGAATAGGGAAGGCTTTCCACAAAATTGAGAAGTTTGCCCAGGCATATGATGCCAGCATTTCCAACGGTGGCCCTGGTAAACAAAGCGTTTCTGGAACTCTAACCTCGAAAAGGACCAGACCCCTGTCGGTTTAAAAAAAAAAACAAGACCGAAAAACAGTAACAGCCAAAACAAGGAGAAACACCATGAAAGCTCTCTTCTCTAAGCAGCTCCTCTGGCTTCTGCTCGCTCAAGGCAGGAAAGCGGAAGGGATGGGGTGGGGACTTCTCATCACAGAATCCTTTTCCTTAAGCAAGCTCGTCTTGAGATTTGGAGGGCGGGCTGGCTTAGAGAGCTTTCCAAAAGCTCTGTGTGGGCACCACTTCTAACGGTCCCGGCCTCTGGCCCCACCTGCCTGTCAATTTCAGTCTGTGAGTCCCCATTTCCAACGTTTCCCTCTCTAGGGGTATTGAGAACCTGGAATTTCCAGCTCTCCGGGACACCGTTAGGCCAGGTCCCTACTGACCTTTCAGAAACCCTGAAATCAACTTTCCTCGCACAGTCTGAATTGTTTGCGTTTTCAGCCTGCGGGAGTCTCCCTCCCAGCTCACCCTTCTTCCCCCTCCTCTCTGCCCCCTCCCCTCCCTCCGGCCTCTCGGACTATTCCCCCCTCCTCCCCTCCGCCTTCTTTGTTGTCTCCTACCTGCTGGCCAGGCTCTGCCTGCAGTGCTGCCTGAAGGGCATCAGGTGGTAGTTCATGGCGTCCAGCAGCAGCTTCTGGCAGACCGGGTCAGTGCGCATGAAATCCACCGACTGGACCCGCTCCACCAGCTCTGGGGCCGGGATGAGCGCGAAGCGGAGGCGCTTCATGAGGTCAGGCGCGTACTGCATGCGGGTCTCTCGGTCGTGCTCCAGCCAAAGCACGGACATCTGGAAGAGCGCCAGCTCCGACTCCACGGGGGGCGGCAGCGAGTCCAGCAGGGCGCGCATCTCCTCGAAGTTAAGCAGCAGCACATCCTCCACCAGGTACTTGTTGGCCAGCTTCTTGGTCTCCTCCAGGCCGTGCAGCGCCGCGATTTTGCACACCTGCTTGTAGTTCTGCACCGAGATCTGGTCGTTGAGAAACTGCACGCAGAGCTTGGTGACCTGGGGGATGTGCAGGATCTTGCTGACCGACAGCACCTCCTCCACTGTGTCTAGGGAGAGGGTCACGTTGGCAGTGTAGAGGTACTCGAGCACCAGGCGCAGCCCGATGGACGAGCAACCCTGCAGCACCAGGTTGTTGATGGCCCGGGGACTGGTCAGCAGCTTGTCGTCGGGGGAGGAGGAAGGAGTCCCGGGCTCTTCCTGAGGCGGCGGCTGCTGCTGCTGTGGAGGCGGCTGCTGCGGCTGCTGCTGCTGCTGGTCCTTGGGGGCCCCCAGGCCGTCCTGGCCGCCGACCCCAACCCCAAGAGGAGGGTGGCTGGAGAAGAGCGACCGGAAGTACTGCGAGCAGGAGGCCAGCACGGCCTTGTGGCAGTGGAACTGCTGGCCCTGGGCCGTCAGGGTCACGTCGCAAAACAGCTGCTTCCTCCACAGCAGGTTGAGGCCGTGCAGCAGGTTGTCGCTGTGGCTGGGGTCGAAGGTGGAGGTCCTGTCCCCGGATCTCGACATGGCGAGCTGACTCGGCGCACCTGGCTTTAAACCCTCCTCCAACCTGGCAGACAGGGGTGGGGGATGGGAGGGAGGGGAGAAGGTGGTGGAGGGGGTAGGGTGTGGTCGGGGTGGGGAAGGGTGTGGAGGGGAGGACGAAGAACAACAATCAATGTTCAGCTTGGCTCCTGCCTAGCGCACCTCCAGACCTCGACCCTAGGAAGGTCTGCGGACGCTGGATCCTAGAGCGCCGCCAGAAGGGCCCTGTCTGGGGTCCGGGCACCCGCTCTGCTCCCTGCTACTCCTCTCGCCACCCCCCACACACTTCGTCCCTCACTTTCCTAAAGCCACCGGGGCTCGGCTCTTGGCAGCGACAGCAGTGGTAGCAGCGACGGCAAAGTGGCGGCTGAGGCCAAGACACCTCGTGGGCTTGTGTCCATGCCGGGCCGGATGAAGGGAAAGGTCGGGGAGTGGGGAGCCTGGGGTGCCCCGAGAGTGCAGAGGCGACCAACGGCGGAGGTTCCAGGTCAACTTGTGCCCGAAGCTTTGCTTTTCGCAATTGGCCCAGTTGGGGGAGGGGTAGGAAAGGGGGCCTGACAAATGTGCGGGTGGGCGCTTCTTAGCCCTCCAAAAGCTGGGAAACCCTTCGATTATCCGTGCTGCCCCGAGAAACTCCTAGGCTAATAGTCTGAGGGAGGAGATAAAGCCCTTTCTTCTCCCGGGAAAGTGCAGCGGAGCGCGGTGAGGACCAGCTCAGTGGACTCAGGAGAGGCGGGAGCTGTCCTTATCAATTCTAGCTCATTTCCCTCACCCTCGCCCTGCCCGCTTCCCTGCTTCACAAACTGTTGGCTTCCCCGTCACCACTCAGTTTTGTTAATTTTCCAGAGACGCCTTTCAACCTGGCAGGAGAATCCCTATAGCCACCCCCGCCTACACCCCGCAAGCCCCTGCCCCCCGCCCTCCGCATTTCTAAGAACCGAAGTTCAGACATCTATCTCCCCTTCCCAGGCGGGGCGGCGCCGAGAAAGACGCGAGAGAGGAGTAGGGCGGAAGTGGGGCTACTGGGGTGGATTTAGAGCTCGAGCCGGGAGGCCCGGAGGGATTGGTGTGGCCGGATCTTCCTCCGGGGCACCAAGCGCAGTCGCTTTAACTCCAGTAACTATAAGAAGTTCAAGTTAGAAGGCAGGTGTTGGGGGAGGGTATGAGGACTGTCCAATGGGGGAGGGGGGGCGCAGGAATCCAGTGAGGGGCCTCTGCGTCCCACCCAGCCTCATCGCCATCAGCCGCAGCTTCCTTCTGAGCCCCTGAGTACAGCCCCTCCAAGACCCCACTCGGGCAGCCCCACTCCCCCGGCCTTGGAACTACTTCTGTAAAAAGTCTGAGCCTCCCGCATCTAAGCGGAGGCGGACGGGGTGGGGGAGGCAAAGCGAGATCGATACACCCGGTCCTTAACCTGTAATTGCACCTTCCAGGGCTAAGTAGCAAGGGACTCGCTACCCACATTCCGCCCGCCCGCCGGCCCGCCAGCTCCGGAGAGCTGCCGCCGCCTCCCGGCTCCGAGGATCCCGCCGGACCTGCCCCTTCCACTGCGGCTCACTCTGTCCTGCCTGGCGCCAGTCCCGGATCGCCGGCTGCCTATTTATACCGGACTCGGCTCCTCTAGACTCACTTTACCATCCCATTCCAGGTGGACCCTAGCCTCCCTTGTGCTCCCTCCACCGGCACTCTCCCCCCCCCCCCCCCCCCAACGCCCGCAAAGCTTGTCTTTGCTGAAACATCTCAGAGTCTCTCCCTTTAAGTGGACCCGGTCATACCTCTCTGTCGCTCTCCCCGCTTCGTTGTCTCCCCCCCATCTTATCCTGTTCGCCCCCTTCTTGTTCTCCTCCTTTGCCTTTCCCCCTCATCTGCTTTATTTCTTGCCCTAGGAGTTTTATTCTTCATAAGCGTTTGCCACACAACTACCACCCCCCTCCCCGCCAAAGATTCCCTCCCCGTCCCTTCCCCCGACAACAACCCAAAAAGACAGAACAAATACACACAAGGCAGACACAAGGCCAGAAACTTACCTGCTCTCAACCAGCTGCGAAGTCAAGGCTCACTTCAGCTCCCCCCAAAAATCGGTTGTCCTTCCTTTTTAAAGGTTTGCTCTCTCCTTGGGGGGGGGGGGAACACCTTCTGGTTCCCAACTCTAGGCAGTCACTCTTTACAATTTATTTTGTCGTACATCATTTGATCACCATGAATTAGCAACAGCAAGAAAATGTAGGAGAGGAAGAAAAGAGAAAGAGGGAGAGAGAGAGGGAGAAAGAGAGAGGGAGCAGAGCTTTCTGCAAGAGAAGAAGAAGAAAAAATGTACGTGTGACAAATTATGCTACCAAGAAACAACACATCATTATCCTTGGGCCTGGGGCTCAGTGAGTCGTAACGAGAGTAATAGGAAATCCACGGTTGGGGAGAGAAACGGTCGTGCTTGGCCAGTAGAGAGAGACCATACAGGGGGATGGATGCTGGAGAGACTCGCAAAATTATGGCTCAAGGCTATTGTAAAAATTGTCGAGCGTAAATGACTGCGATTTCAAACATCTTTGGAAGAAAGAAGGGGAAAAAGCGAGCCCCCCCACCCTCCCGCTCCCTCTCTCTCCCTCTCTCTTCTCTCTCTCTATAAAGAACCGTCAAGTTTTAGTGCGCATTGCTAATTAGTCAATTTCTCTCTGCCTTCACAGGCTGGCGACTTCGCTGCTGAGCTGAAACTGCTAATTTCTGTGACCAGCTTTTTTCTTAGCTGTGATCTGGATGAATGAGTAGCTGTCTCACAGAGATGACAAAAATAAACTCTAATCCCCCCCAAAATTTCCACTACATCTTTCTCATGCATAGATTTATGATCTTCAAGCGCTCTGTGCAATATGCAAACTTTTTTTGTGTCTGTATATATGCTGTTGTTTCCAGATTTCACTACATTGGTATGCTGGTTCTCCTTCTCCCCACCCCCCATGAAATGCAAACCCTATCTGATTCCAAAGTATGCCAAGATGCCACTTTATCATGTCTTGGTATTTGGAGTTTGGGTCTGACTTGGAGAACACTAACCCTTGCCTAAGAGGTGAGAGGCTGAGTATACAAACGGGGTGGGGAAAGTAAAGCTGGTAGACAGAATCTCGGGGGCAGCCCTTCCCTTTACCTTTCTTTCCCTGCACTATTCAAGCTTTATGATCTTATTTGAAAGCATATTTTCTCTATCATTTTGTCTGGTTAAACAACCATCTCTAAACTTCTCTGTCAGCTCTTCAACAGATAAAGGTTCAGAAGTCATATATTTTTTATTGGGAGATTAGCATATTGTCAAATGTGTCTTTTAATCAGGAGTCAGAATCCAAGTACTAGGAAACTCAGCTGCAATTTCACAAATGTAACCTTTCACCTTTGAGGCTCATTTGATATATAAGGGCAACCACATAGAGTTCACATTTTTGACCCTTGCTTAGCATGCGAAATGGACCCCAGCATGCTTCTGGAATTTTAGCTGTACCAGAGATTCATGTGCATTTTGGTAGAGGACATGTTCTCCAGACTTATCTCATGATGTATTGTGCCCTTGCATTTATAGCCCTGCATTTCTGTTGTCAGTGGGGTTGGAGGTGTCCAAGAAAGAAAGAATGAAAAAAAAAAAGGAGCAGAAAAAGGGAAGGCATGCCCTTGAATAAAGCAAACATGAAGGAAAACTAGACATCAGTTAAATTGAACTTTGTTTGCTATTAAGTCTGTGAGTATGACTCATTCGAATTTATATGTGCTCTGATTAGTATACTTATTAAAACACACATCAGGGCACCCCTCAGAGTCTGTCCTTTTACCTTCCTCTTTGATTTCTCAGAGATGGAAAGACACCTGCTTAAGGGAGGGGAAGAAACTGAAAATTCTGAGGTTCAGAGATTGGGAATTCCCCATTTAGAATGATAAATAGTAGCACGCACATTATTTACTCTTAAAAAAATGAAGAAGGATCAAATGGGAGCATTATCCCTCACGTATGCCCTTCTCCATCCAGGTCCTAGATTATCTGAGAGTAACATTTCTTTATTCAGGTCTTGGGGAGATGCTGCATTTTCATAGTCGTATTCGTAACAGAAAAGCCCAAACGTGGGGAGAAATAATAGAACATGATGTTTGTGTAAGGTAGGGGAAAGAAAGAGAATAGATTGTCCAAATCTTTGGACCCGACTCTTTGTTTGGATTTTATTTTTGTCTTTTTGAAATTTCTCTTGTTTGGGTCCTCAGTAGGAAGATGGTGTGACTCTAAGAAAGCACCTTTTTTTAGTTCTGTTTCATTAGCAATTAAAGCCATAGAGTGACGCCAACTTTCATGCCTGCAAAGTACAATTTTTATAGTACGCTTTTAATGTGGATCTTTTATCAGCTTCCAATGAAGTGTTTGGACCTAAATCCAAAGATGAATAATAGTATTGGTTACTTAAAATTATTGCCATTTTCCCATAAAGGAATTTTAGTGTGCTTTGTAGGCCTCAGAATATCTTAGTTTCACATTTCTTTTATTTTTTTTACTTGATAGGTTGTATTGGCCACTAATTATAGTTACTATAATCTTTCTTGCTTCCAAACAATATAAAAGCCATGTTTTAAATTTCTAAACAACCTGTTATTTTAATACTTAGTCAATAGCTAGGGTGGAAAGGGCGTGGGGAGGGCTAAGGGAACGGGGTGCAATTCTAAAACAGCTCATGAAATGAAGCAAATAAGGCTGATTTCTTCTGGGTTTTAAAGTCACATGATTTGATAATATTTAAAATTCCAGAGAAAAAATGGCAGCTGTGGTCATTCGGAAGTAATTTTTTGAAAAAGAATGTTTATAATAAAAACCCCTTTATAATCTGTGTGTGAACTAGCATGTATATCACATAAATCTCACGCTTCCAATATCTTGCACTGGCTTTGACTGAAATTATTGTAGAACTCACAAATGATAAGACACTATTTACAATAAATCCCTTATGAAAGATTCA